TCAACAAGAAGGAAAAACTCCAGAAGTAGAGGGGCTGGTGCACCAGGATCAGGACATTTAAGTAGTTTCAGATATACATTGGTAGGAACTGCCACTCTATGGTCAGAGATCTATCCTTTATTCGTTTTCATGACTCCACAGAGCCACAGAACGTTTGCTTCTGTTGTTTCCTAACTTAATTTATCTATTACCTTGTTTTCCTACATCATCGTTTTGACTCTATGTTTCTCTTTTTATATTCTTTACATTCTAAGCAAAGGGCACATATTTCAGCTTTATGCCAAGAAACCCCAAAATGTATTTATGTAGTCTACAGTTTATATATTAATTTGTCATGCTTTCCAGAATGAATGCTTTTTATTATTTATGTGAATGATGAAGGGGCAAATTTATCTCAGGATGCTCTAGGTATTTGTTGTATTAACTTGTTTCTTCAAGCATGTGAAGTAAATGCATAAAGTATGGTGTAGTTTCTATGACTATGTATTTTGGGTACATGCCATTTAGATGGTAATAATACTTAACATCTCTCAGACCATGCAGTACAACTTTATTGGGTGCCACTGAGATTTTGTGTCACTTTGATGCTGCAAACTCATTTACTCCTCATGACTGATTACTTGCATTGTTTCTGATTCCCAGGACACAGATCTTAGTTGTTTGTTATAGGTAAGAAAATGAGGTCTATCAGTCAAAGGCTGTTGGCTCTGGAATCTGTGACTCCCCTTCTTTAGATGGTGGGCATTTCTGCTTTACAATATTAATTTTGTATGTTAAATGATCTATTCATAGAAGAACTTAGAACTGCTAATGAGAGGTAATGACAGCTGGCAATGGGTAAGGTAAGGTCGATGAAGAATTGACATATCAGTCATATGTCAAAGAAGAAAGGTGAAAAAGAAAACAAGAATACAGTTATTGATTTAAAGAAATGTGAACACTTCAGCAATATAGAGAAGGGAGTCTAAGGAAGTCACATATTTTGACAAGGCTATTTTGATATAGCCGTTTTCACACTCTGACCATATATATATACACTCACAAACAAGAGGACAAATTTCTAAACCTTCAGCCAATAAAATATATCTTTAATCCCAGCACTCCAGAGACAGAGGAGGGCAGCTCTCTGTAAGTTTGAGGCCAATCAACCAACCAACCAACCAACCAAACAAACAAACAAACACAGGACATTTCAATATATTTCTAAACCTTACTCAATCCTCTAGATATTAGCTTCCTCAGAAATTAATTTCTTAAATCACTGCTTTGTCCAATTCTCATACTTTGCACAAGCAGTTAGTTTGCTGCTCATAATCATAAAACTTGTCTTAATAAGTCTACAAGTACATGAGAGAGTTAGAATAGATCTCAGAAATGAGCTGGAAATCAACAAAGTGTGTGTGGGGGTCTACTGTACCTTTTACTAGTTAATAAAAAGCTAAAAGTGTATTGTCTGTTAACAAGCCTTCTCCAGTTACCTGTTGCTGTTTCAGAACATTCTGCTTCACAAGGAAAAATAATTTACCTTTATATGTTCTTGGAAACTCCTCTAATTAAGTTCTGACACTCAGAGAATGTCATGAGATGTATCGATTAACTTGGATTTTGTTGCAACTTCTGCCTTATGAAGATTCTTGTGGTGTTGTCCCTTTGATAATGGGGCTTGTCTTTTGGATGAAAAACACTAAACTTCGAGGGGGGTATGCAACCTGGTTGCATAATTTTATTGCTGATGTAGCAATTAAGAAATAATCGATCAAATAAGGAAATAGATCTGATGTGGATTTTTACCTTCACTCACCAATTTCCTACACTGTCACAGTTTTCATTAGCCAGGATATGGAGACTTTGAAGAACAAGGTTTAATCAACAAACAAATGTTGCAAGTCTTAAGAAAACATGGTCAGCAGCATGTGAAGAGGGTGTCATGGTACAGTTGATACTGTTCACAATTTTCAAAAACATCTTAATGACCACATGTATATAATTCCAACAATTACTGTTCTAAAGAGTTTCAGAATGAAAATTAGGTTGGTTGGGGCATGCTCCTAAGGCACCACAATGTCCATCTATTTAAAATTGCTATTCCACTTTCTGCCCTTCATCAGATAGTGCTGTAGGAGTGTGTCACTTCCTTCTGTAGCTCTTAGTCAGTTGGCAGCACCATGTGTGCAGTCTCCAAATCAGTTATTTTCCCTCCTGTATCTTGCCACCAGCATCTCCAATGATCAATCAGTTAAATATTATCCATGCTTCCTGTTCATTCCTTATTTTTAGCATTTTGATTTTTTTCTCACTACACCCATGATGACTGTAAACTCACTATGTAGCCCAGGTTGCCCTCAATTCTTTTGTCTCAGTCCCAAACTGATGGAATTACAGATGTACATCACCACACCTGACTAATATTCTCCTTTTTAAGCTTATTACATTATTGTAAATGTTGAGTCCTTAACCATATCATGTCTACAATACCGTAGTATAGTTTCCACTGATCAAGAAATTGTAGTAACCAAGGAATTAAATATAGCTTTTATTTTACACCTAAAGCTTTGACCTAGAATTTGCTTCTACTCCAGTATACAAAATTATCTCCAGCAAAAATAGTTCAAGCAAAAGATTTATCTTCATGCAACTTGGAAAAGTTTTTGATGAATAGTGCTTGCTCTGAGCTTTGACAGGAAATTGGATTTAATTCCTTGGGAATATCTATGAGAAAGATGTGTCTGGATAGTTTCTCTTGTCTAAGGGAATGTGAGATAGTCATCCAACATTGAAAGCAGATGAGTTGCTAGGCTATTGAGAGGTGTGTTTGCATGGAAGAATAATTTCAAGGGATGAAGCCATATGTTTATAACCTCATCAATACTCACTGAACTTTAAAGTATGTATTGTGACATTGCCATTGATAGTGGGTCAAACTGTGACCTCTATAATGCCAACATTTCAATAAACATGGGTGCTTATTGCTATGAACTCACTGAGACTTTACTTGCTGCCAATTATGTGTGGAGTTCATCATCTCTTACCTACTCTGTTATCATTCTTTCATAGATCTCCCTGTCTCCAAAGATATAGTCATAGTTAATTTGAACACATACAAATGTTTGTGTTTTGAAGATTTTTAGGGGGGTTCAGACCAACAAAGTTATTAATACTTTTAAGGTATCATAAAGTAGTTTCTCCTAGTGCTCACCATGAGTACAAATCAAAATATTAAATATTATCATTGTGAAAATTAAGTTAATATGCCTTGTTAATATTTTAGAAAGAATTCTATAAGAATAGTGAAATACATTAGCATATCCTAAAAATTTTGCTTTAACATTTTAAAATGTGGGCCCCTTTCTTCTAACTTCAAAGAGGAGCAGGCAAAATCATATGCATACCCCCAAAATGCCATCACTGAAAAAACTAACAGCTGACTAGGATAATACAGGCATTAGGCATGAAAATATATGAGGCTAAAACTATCTGAGAAGTTTAGTCTGCCACCTAGACAACTCCTTGTGATCAGGAATAGTTTATTCTTAAATTTGCATATTAAGGCTCAATGAAAATTCAGATGGGGTTATTAGTTATCATTTCCAGTGAACTAAGAAATTATTTTTCTTAAATTCTATAGGTTACTTTTAAAAATAATGGTATCTGGGGAGCTGGGGAGCCGGCTTAGCTGGTGAAGTCCAAGCCAGCATGAGGACTTGAGTTCAGATCTCAAGCACTGAGGTGATGTCAGTGCTGGGAAAGCAATGGCAAGCTGATTCTTGGCTTTTGCTACCCAGACAGCCTAGCCAAATCTGTCTCAAAAGAATAAGGTGCAATTGAAGAGGAGACACCCAATATTATGTTGTTATGATAAACATTGAGACCAGAAGCAATGTGGGTGAGAAAGTGGGTTATTTGGTTTATGATTCCATTCAAGGAGGAACTCAAGCAGGAGCTTTTGTGATTTCTGGCTTATTCTCTGACTTACAGCCTCATGCTTAGCTGGTTTTCTTGATAAGCCAGGACCATTTACGGATGGAGCCACTCACAGTGGTCTGTGCTAGCCTATATCAATCAAGACAAACTCTCACAGGCACACCCACAGACCAACCTGATAAAGATACTTACTTGAGTAAGATACAATTTTCAGGCTGTGTCAAGTTAACAGTAAATGTATCCTAAGACAGTTGACACTGATATGTAGCCTACACACACACACACACACACACACACACACACACACACACACACACACACCAACTGGCAAGGACTGATTTCTAGTATTTGGAAGTCTTCAGCTTCCTTCCCTCCTTTAAAGGAGGTTGTGAGTTCAAGGCCAGACTGAACTAGGTAGTGAGACTCTTTTGAAAGGGTATGTGTGTTGGGAAGATATGGTAGTTGGGAATTAGTTATTATAATATACTCACATGAAGACTATACAGTTACCAACAACTTTCTGTCAAAATAATCTATATAATCCAGAAAGGTTCACAAGTAGTTAAGTATATAGCAACGTGTATATAGATGTGTTAAAAAATCATGTGTGCACATGGACATTTGTGTGTATGTATAAGATTATGTAGGTAGGCTTTATTTATGAGTGATTGCTTGTGGGATTTCCTTTCTTTTTTATTCCTAAGCATCTTTGCTACTATAATTAGGAAAAACATTCTTCATTTTTGCTAAGAATACATTAATCACTGTCTAGCTGATGTCTCTAGAGAGACAAACATGGCTATTTGGGATTTCACTTCTCTTTAACTTTTTAATAGCAGTAATTCTGTTCCATTCGCTGCTACATTGTCCAACCATATAGGTAAAGTTTTAAAACTCATCAAGCTCTTCTCTTTTATTGCTAAATTTTTAATGTTAACTTAAAATAAAATGAAACAGAGCTCTCCCTGTCTCTTTCCTGTGGATCGAAATGAGGAACTGCTCCAGCCTGCTACCACCAGCCCCTTTTCCCATAATGGTTCTAGATGCTCACGTTCTGGAACCCGGAAGTGACACAAGATGTACAAGAAGTCCCTCTAACCACGGCGTCCGCTGTTGCGAAGAGTCGGCTTTGTAAACCCCAGAAGTTCTACTCCACCGCAGGTGGCCGCTATGGAGACTTCCTGGGGAAACGACCCGTCGGTCACCATGTCTGACCAGGAGGCAAAATCTTCAACGGAAGTTTTAGAGGATAAGAAGGAAGAAGTTATTAAAATCAAAGTGATTGCCCAAGATGGCAATGAGATACACTTCAAAGTGAAAATGACGACACAGCTCAAGAAGCTCAAAGAAACCTATTGTCAGAGACAGGGCGTCCCGTCCAACTCTCTGAAGTTTCTCTTTGAAGGCCAGAGGATCGCTGATAGCCACACTCCGAAAGAGCTGGAGATGGAGGAGGAAGACATGATCGAAGTCTATCAGGAGCAAACGGGGGGCCGTTCAGTAGTTTAGATATTCCTCGTACTTCTTCTTTCCCCCACAAATGTGTTTTACTTTTATTTTATTTTTTAAGGATCTTTGTCATGTGGAATTCGGAGTGAAAATTGAATATACTGGCACTCCGTCTCTAGAACATCTGGCGCTCTGAATTCCAGCGCTCAATAGTCATTACTGGCGGTTCGCATTGTGCTGAATTCCAGCGCTCATTCCTCATTACTGGCGGTTTCCATTGTGCTGATTTTGGTGATCAGACTTCAGCTTCTTGCCAACTTCGTGTATGCCCGTCGATGCCACCCTTCTCAAGACCAACTGGACCTTTCCTATACCGCCCAATTGGTCAGGAATTCCAGCGTGTGGCTGCTTGACACCGGACCCGTGATATTCACAGGGAGATGGAAGTTTTCAGGGAACTGAACTGTGAAAGACAACCTGAGGATCTGGACCAGGAGCCTGTTATCAGGTTTGGAGTCAAGAGGTCAGATCCGGTGAGAATTCAATCTCTCGACGCTTTCTCTTCAGTGAAGCTGCCTTTGCCAGTCCTGTCAGACGAGCCCAGCTATGTTCTAATTTTCATCAGCAGTTAATAATAAAGGTATTCGTGCAAAAATAATATGAAACAATTCAACTTATTGAAAATGATGTCTACCATTACAGCGAACATCAGGGCTTCTGATGTCAAACTTTAACAAATACGTTCTGTTAATTTGCTTTACTTTTTTTAAAACCAAGGTGTTTCACATATAAAATTAAGCTCTCAATCTCGTCTCATTCCTCTCCTTTCTCTTTTGTTTTTCTTTCTTCCTAAAAAATATTTATATTTTTACTTGTAATCATGTGTATGTTAATATGAGTGCAGGTGCCCATAGAATCCAGAGGTGCCTGATTTCTCTGGAGCAGGAGTCACAGGTGGTGGTGAACCACTTAACATGGGTGCTCAGAACCAAATTTCAGTCCTCTGAAGGGATGGTACATAGTGTGTGCTCTTAACTACTGAGTTATCTTTCCAGCTCCTCTTCCTCTCTCAGAAGCAATCATTATCCTGAAGATAACTCTGTGTGTGTGTGTGTGTGTGTGTGTGTGTGCACATGACTATACTCGTATACAACCCAATCTCATGTTTGTACTTTTATAACATGTTCACTTATAAATAATATTTTATTGATTTGAAACACATGTAGCTATTAAAATTTATTCTTTTTACCTGTATTTTGTCAACATTTCAATTTATTTTCATTACTCTTGAATTATAGTGTTGCGTTGCACTCATATTCGTTCTTTAAAACTCCATGTATGTAGTTGCATTTTCTTTGAGCCACCAACCAGCTCCCAAATAAAAACATGTATGCTTATTAAATAAATTATGAATGCTAGGCCTTAGCTAAGGCTTGTCCCATTAGTTCTTTTAACTTGATTTAACCTGTTTCTATTCATTTACATTTTGCTCTGGGGGCTTTTTGCCTTTCTTTAATTCTGTACTTTTCTCCTTCCTCCATGTAGAGCTGGCTGGTCCCTCATCTCTCTGTCAATAAGTCCCACTTGTATCTCTTCCCTTGTTATTGGCCATTAAGCTTTTTATTAGACCAATCAGATGCCTTAGGCAGGCAAAGATAAATAGCATCACATCTTTACATAATTAAATGCAACACATCTCTGCATAGTTAAACAAATATTCCACAAGACATGCATTTATTGGTCTCAATTTAATGTGCCAATGTCTTGCTAGCAAGAATAATGTTCCAGTGAACATCCTAACATCTGTCTCCTGAGGAAAGGTACAAGCATTTGTGTAGTATGTATACCAGTCATGGGATTGTACAGGGAGTATGGAGAGCAAGTGTTGGGGTTTCAGGACAGATTTAGAAACATCTTTCTAAAAGGTTAAACAAGGATCCTCCAGGCTCAAAAGAGGCTTGTGCCTTATGGAAGGAGAATGAACTCTCGTGTATTAACTTTCTCATCTCAGCTTCAGCTTCAGTTGTGTCTAGTATTGAGCTTTAGGTCAAGATCTGACCTCATTTCTCAGTATCACTTTGCCTCATATTAGAAAGACTTTGCATTGAGTTTAAAGTTTCCGTTAAAATATTTTCTTTTCAATGTTGCTTGTATCAAATGCCAATGTCTTGAAATATCATATAGCTATTGATTTTTATAAGCATTTCTAGCTCTATTAACCATTTGTCTTTCCCATCCCAACATTCCCTAAGCAAATCCACAAAATATAATGCAAGTCCAAAATAGCAGAGTGATTCACTTTGCTGTCTAAAACTCCTGGAAACTAAATTGCAGACAAATTCCCCCAAATCACATATGTTACAGTAATAAATATTACACCAAGTGGGAAAGTTATGGGAAAGCTTACACACAAGTATGGGCGTTGTTCTAAGGTCAAAGGGGAGCAAGTGAAGGACCTTAAGTAGAGGCATGATTTGTACTTAAGATAGAGCCCCCTAGAAATGATAGAACTGATGAAGTTGAGAATGAAAACATCAGTATGACAAGCAACGAGAGTTCACCCTGGGCTGTGTACAAGGTGAGTGGGCTCAGGAATATACAGTAATAGAATACCCAGAAAGGGGGGGCAGTAGGAAGATTTAACATATCAGGATTGTCAATGCCACAGCATCACAAGGTCAAGGGCCACATGATGGGATGTGATCCAGAAGTGTGCACATAGAGATGTCTGCAGAACACCCATGGGGGGGTTCACAAATGTTCAGGGTGTGTACATGGAGGTATCTGCTGAACACCCATGGGGCAAGGTTCAGCAAAGACTGCTGACATCCAGCTAAGTGGATTGGGAGAATGGTTTTAGCAAAGGTTTCCCTTATAACTGTGAAAAAAAGAACAGAGCAATCTTGTCATTAACTTTATAGTTAGAAAGATAGAGAGGACCCTAAGAGAGATATCCATGGTACCCCCAAAGAAGGGGAATGGACAGGATCTCTTGAGCAGATTGGGAGCATGGGGGCAGGGGACACGGAGCTGGGAAAAAGAGAGGGAAAGAAAAGGAGGGGAGAGGAGGACATGGGGGAGCAAGAAGGTTGAGCCAAGGGAAGAATAAAGGAGAGCAGGATGAGAGATACCATAATAGAGGGAGTCATTAGAGGTTTGAGGAGAGAAATGGCACTAGTGAGATTTCCAGAGATCTACAAGGATGACAGCAACTGGCAAACTAAGCAATAGTGGAGAGGTTACCTTAAATGCCCTTCCTGGATAATGAGATTGATGACTACCTTATATGCCATCCTAGAGCCTTTATCCAGTAGCTGATGGAAGCAGAGGCAGACAGCCATGATGGGAGATGCAATTCTATAAATATGTCCCTCTTATTGGTTGATAAAAAAGCACTGTTGTTCAATAGGGAAGCAAGATAGTGGGACCAGGAGTAGAGGATGATTCTGGGAAATGTAGTCAAGAGTAGGGAGTTGACATGTGATCCCAGGAATTGAGGACACATCAGGACGGCATCCTCAGAAAGATAAGTCCTTATAGAAATATATATTAGTGTGGTCATGGGTTAATACTTAAGACAGAACTAGCCAATGAGAAGCCCTGGACATTGGCTGACAGCATTGTAACTAATAGAGTCTCTGTGTGTTATTTTGGGGGCTAAAGTGGCAATGGAACCCAGGCGGGAATCTCACAACAAAATGGCGCCCACAACGTGGGTATTAAGAACATAAAACTTGACAAAAGCTTAAAAAGGGATTTTACAATCAAAAGAAAAGAGGCAAACACAGCTTCTTGGTAGCAACATTTCTCGGGTGAGCTCTGTTTTGCTAGAGACAAGTAGAGACTCACACAGCTCCCTCAAGGGAGTCTTCCTGACTCAGCATAAGCGACAAAAAACCACAGGGCTCTTTTAAGAGACCCCACTACCAAACAAGAATGGTGTGTATGAGCAGCTGGCAGTGGCAGACTACATTTGCAAGGCGCCAGCATGCTGCTTGACTTCAGCATAGACTAAGGTAGTGAGCACAGCTCCCATTCCTGGCAATAAACTTACACCTGCCATATTGGAAAGTCAGTGGCTAAAACAGCTGCTGCCACTTTAATTTTAGCAATGTTGTTTAGCAGATAATAGACACGTGGCCAGAAAAACATAAAGATTTACAGTAAAGTCAGATTCAGATAAAGTAAAACCTCTAAAAGGTTTACAGTGTGTTTAAAAATACATGTAGGTTTAGGAGAAAAAAAGAAACAGGATAGTGGTAAAAAAAAATAGAGAAGCTGGCTGTGGTGGTGCATAAGCCTTTAATCCCAGCACTCCAGAGGCAGAGGCAGGTGGATTTCCAGGAGAAACCCTGCCTCAGAGAAAAAATAAATAAAAGTAAAAGAAATAGAGTAATAGAAAAGCCATGTAAAGATGGAAAATAGAGAGTCTGGATACTGTATGCTATTGGGTTATCTTTGAATTGTTTAATTGCTGTGGAAGGAGCAGCAATTGCTAAAGATATTTGATTATCAATGCTGCTGAATTAATCCAACTTAAATATTTTAAAAATGCTTTGAATTCTAAATTTAAATGTAAGGACAGGTTACTTGGGGAAAAGTTTTTACTTGTGTTTCAACAGAAAATGAAAAGCTGTGGGTTCCTTCCAGACTTCTATGGTTTGATGAAGCAAGACCTCCTGAAGAAATGTCCCAGGCAGTCCAGCATCTGAAACAGCGAGGATGATATAGCCTTACAGACTACAAAAACAAGGACTTAGTCAGGTTTCTGTGTTTTGTCATGATCCTCATGGTATGGACAGCACCCCCAATCAGCAGTAAACATTTTGGAATGAACAACACCCAAATTGTCAAATATTGTTTATAAATTTTTGTTTCAATTTATACAGGGTTGGTTATAAATGGTTAATGATCACAACCAACCTCTTTTAAAAAGTAAAAGGGAGATTATGGTATAGAAATAAATAGTTTGTATTGGAATTAATTATCATTTATTGATACAAATTTAAGGTCAATGTTGTGATATGTATATTTCTCTTGTTTAAATATTGTGTTTATACTTATCTTTTAAAATGTAATGCATAATAAAATACAGATTGTATATAGTCACCTATAATAGTCAGAACTTATAGTTAGGTTAGTTGGGTTTTCTAGATACACAGAGATATATTTGAGATGGATAGCTATTCTTCAAACCTTTCAAAGACCTACAGAATATATGGCATTTAAATGGTTTAGGGTTTTTCTTGACAATGAGAAATATCTGTTCCTGGCATCACCAATTATGTCTGAAAGGAAGATGGGCATCGAAGAAACTCGTTATGGTCTTTGCTTTCAACATGGCAAGACTAGCCATTTGGGCAATAAACTGCTCTTGCCTGGACTATTTGACTGTTACTGTATAAACTGGACATGCAGGACCCACAGGAAAGTGACCGTTAAACTTGTTGGGACAGTCCTAAAGGGTTCCTGCTTTATGAAAGAGTCTGCCAGACATTCTGCAGAACACAGAAAAATGACTGACAAACTGAACAGTTTAAAGTTTCCTGCTTTCCTGAGAAGTCTGCCAGACACACTGTGGGCTATGGGCTGAAGATGGATGCCCCAACATTACAGAGGAACTTCAGATGACTGTCCAGGTAGTGAGATATCTCTGTC